TTTAGACACGGCGCCACCTCTACGTCAACCTCGTCCATTATGCTACTGCACTGCTGTAGTGCCCTCCGCTTAAGATCTTAGCACCAGATGTTGTAGATGATTGGGTTGGTAAAGCTGAAAGGTTGAATAATAGCGCAAACAATCGAATTTTACTTTTCTGCAAGAGTTCAAGATAACCTATGACTCTTTTGGTTCTACTCGACTCATAGGGTGCGCAAAGGCTAAGAGAATTGGCGATTTTTTTTTTCAAAATTTGATCCAATTCTATTTTTTGGAAAAAGACTCGCGGTTTTTTTTAAAATTCAATCTGGACATAGCAACAACTGTTTGAAGTTCTAGTTATAACTTTCGACGAAATTAGGATACGGAACGAGCTAAAGAGACCTTTTTCTATCTATTTGCAGTGTACGGGTCCTAGTCAGAAATCTATGTACATATTTAAAACAAACTCTGTTGCTGTGCTTTCTGTGTTGTTTAGGTGAGTTGGGAACTTACATGTTTGTACACAAAATAATAGAAGCTTGCTTGAACTTAACACTCTTGTTGTTTTTTGAAATAAAAACTTTCAAGTTGTCAAATCATTTCAATCACAATGTTCCATTACATTCTACTTTTTTTCTGTGGACTAAATATTTATAAATTTTTTTATCTTAGAATAATAGTCTAACTCATTGCACCTTGACACGTAGTAAGTTTGCTTCTCCTTTAATTCTATTCCTTAAAAACCAATACTTTTTGAGACTTTATATACTACATCGTTTTATGCTGACTCACTCAATTTCCAGTGAAGGCTTCAGCTTTACATATGATTTCTATTTCCTACATTTTTCTGACTTATCCAGGTTAATTGATCTACATGTGTAGATCACATATTTTTAGAATTACGCATTCAAGAGCAAAAAATGTCCATAAACAACTGATAGGTTGTTTGGCATAGATATTTTATCTGATTTATATTTATTTATTTTTTCTTCATTAAATTTTGGATTATTTGTTGATTTAGGGAGTATAAGTCTTCTCTTTCTTAATATCATATTTCTTTCGCAAATATTTCCTTCTACCTCAACTGCTCACGATAGTACAAAGGGTATGCTCCTTAGCTTATAATTAATACTGTTACATATTCTATGAATGGTCACAAATTCAATTGGTTTTGGATTATTCCGTTCGATCTGCTTTGTTCCTCACGTCCTCGTTTCGTAATATTTGAGGTAGTAGATGTTTTATTTTTGAGAACTAGGACTTTTTTGGAACATCTACCTAAGCTTAGTCAGATCTGGTCAAGGTCAGATTGTTTCTGAATTTACTATCCAGTTAGAAATGGAAAAAGATACTTTTTTATTTTGGAAACCGTTAGTTTCTGTAAATCCATAGGATTTCTAGATGTAATGCTTTTTGTCATTATTTGCGAGATTTTTGCACGCAATAATAAATTTTCCT